GAATAATGGCAACAAGTTCTAAGTCACGGGTGGGGTAATTCTTTTCATGACTCTTCAACTACCTACACCCATAGGCTATGACCTTCCCATGCTGCATTAGAACACAACCCAACCCCATGTATGAGGTATCACTATACACTGTATATCCACCCGTCCCACTCGGTAAAGTCAACACAGGTGGAGTAGTCAACCGCTTCTTGAGTTCTGTAAAGCTCTTTTTGTAATTTTCGTTCCATTCAAACTTAATGTTCTTCTTTGTGAGTCGGGTGAAAGGAGATTAGGTTAGAAAATCCTTCCACAAACTTGCGGTAATAATCTGTTATTCCCAGAAATGTATGAATCTCTTTAATCGATGTCAATTTCTCCCAACTGAGTACTGCCTCAACTTTTTTGGGGTTCACTGATACTCCATCCCTTGATATGATGTGGCCTAAGAAGGTATTCTGCTCGAGACAGAACCTATATCTGCTCAATTTTGCATACAATTTCTTTTTCTTGAAAATCTACAAATTAGGTAGTGAGCGTGTTCCTCTTTACTGTTTGAATATATCAGGATATCATCGATAAACGCAATGATGAACTAATCCAAGAATTGTCTAAAGTACATAAAAATAGCTGGTGCATTGGTTAATTCAAATGGCATGACTAAGAACTCATAGTATCCGTACATGATTATGAAGGTTGTCTTGGGAATGTCCTCTACCTTAATCTTTATCTGATGGTAATCTGAATGTAAGTCTATTTTGGAGAAGATCTAGGCACCCTATAACTGGTCAAAAAGCTCATCAATTCTGGGGATAGAGTACTTGTTCTTGATCGTGACTCTGTTAAATCCCCTGTAGCCAATACATAAACTTAACGTCTTATCTTCTTTCTTTTTAAATGTGACTCCAGCATCCCAAGAATATACACTATATTGGATGAACCCACTATCTTGCAATTCATTGATATGTTTCCTCAGCTCTTTTATCTCAACTCGACTCATGCGGTAAGCAATAACTGAGATAGACTAGGTGTTAGATTGAAGATCTATAGTGAACTCAACTTCTCTATCTACTGGCAGTTCAGGTAGTTCTTTAGAAAATACATCTGAGAAGTCTTGGACTACTAAAATCTCTCAAATGCAAACTTCTTTCTTAGGTTTGCCCATGTAGAGAAGACAACCGAATTAAAATACTATGTAATAAGAAAATTGCCATAAGAGAATAATATTAAAAACTTTTATTAGCTTGTAAATGACTTTTTGTTAGAATAGTTGAATACAAGTTTCTTATGGAAACAATATATGGTGACGTAATATGCCACTAAATAGTTCATTCCCAGAATTATATCGAAGTTCTCTGTGTCAATCTCTATCAGGCCTACACTCAGTTTCTTATTTATTATGTTTATGATACAAGCTTTGTATATAATCTCCCCTAGTAGTGTCATACTTCCAGGAATAGACACAAACAATACAAAATCAAGTCTCTTAGATAATACATTCAAATTTTGTGCAAAAACATGTGAAACAAACGAATGTAAAACACTGATATTAATCAAAACATGTGTAAAGTGATCACATATAGTGTATGTATCCTGTATCACGTCCAGGTTGGCTTCAATATCCTGTTAGGTAAGGTTGTAAGTTTTACCCTAAATAGGAGGTCTGACATGATTTTGATTTCACGAGCACTCTCTCGCGTAATGTTGGGCACTCCCACATATGCGGTAGATATTGTTGAGACGATAACAGAGTCGGTCTCTATGATCCTTGCCACAGTGCTAGCAAGTCATACCGCGTCCTGTTCCCAGAGCCTAAGTCACTAGCCTAGATCTCTTATTTTGCTGAACTGGTATACGGAGTGCTGGTCTACGGTGTGAGACTAAGGGTCTGGGATTTCCCGCTGCTGGAGGGAAGATACGAAAATTCCTCTCCACTAGCTGTGTCTTGGGCAAAACGGCTGAGTAGGTGCTAAGCTCAAATATGTACAGCTACTGTCTGATCTCTGGACGGAGACCCCACTCGAACTTCATTGCTTTCCTGTCTTCATCCATCATACTTTTGGGGGAATATCGGCCCAACTTTAGAGATATTTGGGCATATTTCGACACAGTCATATCACCCTGGACTAGGTGTGCAAACTCTATTTTCTTCAAATGCTGGAGGTACTTTGGGAGGTACTCTATATTAAAGGCCATCAAGAATTGTTCCCGAGTGACTGGAACAAGCAGGGTAGCCTGTTTGAGCTGCCACCAACGACCTGCCTCTCCCCCAAGCATATAGGTGGCAAGTACAATATTCTGTTCAGGAACCACCCCAAGAGTTGTGAATGTATTCTATTTCTCAGTTAACAAATGCTCAGCCTCTTTGAAAAAAGATATCCCTGTAACAGTAGATGAGTTTAGTCTTTTATACATTTCAATGTAGCTTAGATCCATAATGTGTGGAACTGGGTCTTGTGGAAGATGGACTAGATTGTTCTGGGGAGGGACTAGGTGGCCTTGTGATGGCACTTAGTTGTACGGTGGGGGCACCAGATTGTACTGTGGCGGTGTCGGATGATATAGTGGAGAAGCAGGGTTGTACTTGGGTGGCTCCAGATCTTCTCGCTATAAGGGTGGCTCAAACTGTGGTGGCGGATGAGGGTCAGACAGCTCTCTCCTTTCTTCCTAGGATTGCTGGGCAGAGATCAGTCTCTCCAGTATCTCAAAGAGTCGATCAACATCATCTCGAAGCAAATCATCATGGGAGGCTCAGTTTAGTGGGGGCCTTCATCTCCTCATATCTTTGTACCTGCATTTCACAAGGAAGGGTTGAACGATAATTTGTATTTGGTATTTTTAAATCTTTGTGTAAGAAATAGTTCCGATGAACACGACTCTGATACCAACTGTAATGACCCAGAACTCAAAGAAAATGAATTTATATTTTAAGTGCGAAAGCAAATAATAATATTAGGGTTTACATTCCTTACACAATAAATTAGAATGACCAATAGGGTTACGGGAATGTCTCTTCTACGTTGATTCATAAAAAGACAAATGGTAATTAAAATAAATAAATAAATTAATATCTTAGGGGTAACCTTCACTAGCACTTGAAGGGAGTCCGAGATATGAACTACTCACAACTCTCTTACTGATTGAAATCTGGATCTTGGTCTTCTTGATATGAAATGATTAATAAAATGATGAGCTACACTAACCCCGTAAGAATATCATACTAATAACTTATACGAAAAATCGAAGGTTGGTAAAAAAAGAAAACAATTAATTGAGCCATTACTTTAAGAAAATACATTTAACTTTAAAATGTTCTATCTGATACTTACCGTCATGATTTTTTTCAAAATCAACATATAAAGACAAATATCTAAATAATATTTTATTTTCATGCACAAGATCAACAATTCTTCATTTTTAAGCTATTTACTAGGACCTCTATGGGTTCTTAGGAATATTCCTCTACTCATGAACCCAATATCAAGATTTGACAATTAACTTGACCTTCTTCATACCCCATTGGGTAATGGACGTCAAGACACAATCGCCTCGATACCCCATCTGGTATGAGGGTGAACTATATCTCCCAAAACCCTCCTGGTATGGGACTTCTCAGTCCCATCCAACTGAGGTAATATCCATGATAAGGTTCTATATATACTGGGTCTGTCCACCCTTTCCTAGGATACCCAACAAGTTTTCATTTATATAGATTCTCATCATCCAAATAACTACCAACACATACCAACATTTCATTTCATATTCACAAAATAATTTAAACGACACCTAAGCAAGCGATATAGTTTAGCATATGTGAAAAATCAAATAACCAAAATACTAAATAAACAATGTTAGATAAGCCAAATAACCAAATAATTGAGAAGACCATAAAAACTACCAATTTAAATACGCACAATACAATAGTAAATAATTTAGGCAGTACAAGAAAATAATCAGGAAATCATGACAAATATGAACTAATTGGTTCCAACTTCATTAGTGACCTGTAATTATTTTTAGAGTTTTTTAATTTTTACAAAACATAAAATTATCCATAATTAAGTCTCAATTTACCGTAACAGAGAATAGGGTGAGGAATCCTTACTCGGGTTGGTGTTTTGAAATGTTGTACTATTTATTATGCCTTCTAACGAGTCCCAGATTTCTTGAATTTTTTCTACAGAATTCAAAAACTCATCACGTACCTAAAAATAATTCAAAATCCCAAAATCAGTGTTGAAAATCCTTTACGGCCAATTTTATGGTTCTGGCA